CCGCTGAGCCCCTGGGAATGGGACGCTGTGTTCCCAGGAGGCTGCCATGGGGTTCCCAGGGCCCCTTCCCCACGCCAGGACCAGAGAGGACCCTGCCCCTCCCCGTCCCCCTCATGACCTCACCAAGCCCTGCTCCCACCCACCCACAGTGCCCCAAAACAGGGCAGTGCCAGGCCAGAAGGCCCTGAGTCTCCCAGGTTTGAGCAGGGAGAAAGGCGTGCGGGGTCTTCCCTGAGCCCCCACCCTCACAGCAAATGCCTCTGCAACTCCCAGCCCAGAGATGCCCCCCTCCACTCCCGACTGCAAGCCCCACACACTGTCCCCATCCCGCCCCAGCCCAACCGTCCTGCTGTGGCCTCGAGGGAAATTTTCAAAGTGGGGTGTGTCTTAATTATGTGTGTGTAAGAAGCTGATGCCCAACTGAAGTGGGTTGTGCCCAAGGTTGCAGGCCTCAGAGACTCCTGCACTGTGCGGGGAGGGTCCCCACACAGACCCCAAACCCGGGGTTCTTTGAGATGTACTCCCCAGGACCCACCAACCAGCAATGATTTCCCTCCCCGCACCTTAACGCGGTGATGAAGAAAAGGCCCAGGAGTCAGAACTCCTCACTTCTCTAAAGGAAGAGCCTTTCTCCCCAGGAAGGGGTCTGAGCTGAGGGTGGATCCGAACAGAATCTGCTTGGGGAAGTTTGAAGGCGTAATGCCCTATGCATGCGCTCCAATGTTTGGGGGTGAGAAGTACCACAGGGCACCAACCCCAAGCACTAGAGACTGGTGTAGGGTCCTGCAGCCATCCAGGACTCTGGAGCTGGACAGGGGGTGAGGCCCCGGTGACAGTCACACAACTGTAACGGGAAATTGGCCCCAGCAGGCAAACTGGCTGCACCGGGGTGCACTGGCGTCGCCGCCCCCAGATGGCCCTAGTGGTTGGATGGGGATGCAGCCTGGCCCCCATGGGACGCTGCCACCAACTGGACCAGACGGTGGGGCCCCGCCCCGCCCGTCCGTCCTTCCAGGCCGCCGGGGGCTCACCATCTCCTTGTGGCGCGAGATCCAGGTCTCCAGCAGCAGGTCGAGGCGCGCGCGGTGGAACTTTTTGGTGGTCTTGACAGCGATGAAGACGTCTCGGGGCGCGAGCGGCTCGGCCAGGGGACGCGGGTGGCTGTCGGCG